GCAGCAGCACCAACAAGTTCATTTGTTGATATTAAAGATGATTATATACGTGGTGTTAATGAATTAATTCGACAGCAATGTGATAATACATCATGTCTTTATTTATATTTACCACGACCACCGAAAGACAAAATACTATCACAACGTTATATACGTGTTTTAGATATTTTATCAAATGATTTACCACCTGTTATGTTTGTACATGGTGTTTCATCTGTAACATGTACTCAATTATAATTTTCTATTAAAATTTTTAAATGTCAGAATATTTCATATTTATTCTTTTCTTTTTCGATCTCTTTTATTGCTTTTGGTTTCTTTTGTATTCGACTCTTATGAAATAAGTGTTTTGTCTAAATGTGTTTTCTCTCTTTTTGTTTTTGTCTACTACTAATAATAATAATCATTTCATTGATCTGTTTTTTTTTCTATCGTGTGTGTATCTCTATTTAAGATGTCACATACTCAACCTATTATATTTAATAATGAGTGGTCAATCGGTACAACACATGGTTCAATATTAGAATCTGAAGGTTCAAAACGTCAAGAATATGAAACTGGTTTAGCAACAAGTCATTTACCAGAAATGATATTCGATAAAACAACATTAAAAATAGTTCATATTAATAATAAATTAGAAATTGTATTTAATGCATTTGATGCATTAAAAAGTATTGATATGTATAATAATATAGAACAAATTCCTAAAGTATCTATGAGTGAAGTATGGTCAAAATCACGTAGTAAAGATAGAGAATTGGATTATGTTAAACCATATGATTGGACATATACATCAAGATATAAAGGTAATTATATTGTCAAAATCTAAACATAAAGGATACAACTGATATGTATTAATTTCATAGGCAGTAATTCAGTCTGTTCTATGTCTCGAATACAACACATCAGAAGTGCATTTCAGTACGTTACACTACTTGAGTTGCATCAACCTCTATAAAAAGAAAAGCGTGACTGACATGCATTAATTCCTCAGGTATATTTATAATTTAATACGAAAGAGTAACATACGGCATATAATATCAAGTCAACAGTTAGCATCTGTTGAGTACTCTACCACATTAATCAGTTATGCATGTTTTTCTTATAGGTGAAAAGAATAGAAAGTTCCAATGTGAATAATTTATTTTAAAAATATTTCTATCTAGGCACTTTATGTTCATCCAGTGATAAATCTTGGCATATTGAAGTAACTGATCAACAACTTGATTTAGAAAAATTAAAACGTCAAGAACCAATTTTATTTTATGATGAATTAACACTTTATGAAGATGAATTAGCTGATAATGGAATATCAAATGTAACATTAAAAATTCGTTGTATGCCAAGTGGATTTTTTGTACTTCTTCGATTCTTTATGCGTGTTGATGGTGTACTTATACGATGTTTCGATACTCGTTATTATTATGAAGCAGGAAATTCTTATATACTAAGAGAATATATTGAACGTGAATCAGCAATATCATCACTTAAACCAGAATTTCAATCAACGTCGGATATTAATTCAGTTATTACACAATTAAAAACTAATGTACATCAATTAGAAAAACTTTTTTTTAAAACATCATCATAGAAAATAAAAGCAATGTTAACCATAACGATACTATTTCAGTTATGTTTTCTACATCTTTTATTGTCATAGTAATTTAATTTTTCCACGTTAAACTAATGAAAAAAAATGCATTTACTAATCCACGTAATTAAAACTATTATTTGACTAAGAAATCTAGTTGTTGTAGGGTCTCATTATTTAATATGAGTAAATGTATCAATTATTCATATCTATTTTCTTAGTTTACATATAGAATAAAACTTAGCAATAAAGTTTATGTTATTAGATATCTCAAACGATTTCTTGAATACAAAATTTAAATATGTCATACCGTTCTGAAACAACTATACATTTAAAAATCGATGTCGTATCATTTTTTCAATACTTTAAAGATAAATTCGCTTCTCAAAAGTGCGATATACTTAGAGCATTAATTCATCACATAGTTCCGGATAAGTATATCTGAAGATTCTAATATATATTTTAGTTAAGAAAAAAAGTAGACATATTTTTTCTGAGAATTGTATAACACTTGTTAGTGGATTTACAGAAGGATTGAATCTATAATATGAGACGTTTATAAATGAATCTTTAAGGAGAATTAGTAGGATATTGAGTAAAAGGATCTTATGAATAATTGTCTTCTGCCCGAAGTGCATTCACCTTGTCAGTATTCAGATAAATGTAACCTAAATTTGACATAACAGAACGAGTGAGAAAGAGTAGTTACATTATTAATAATGAATGAATTTTTAATTTACATTAAACACATCATAATTATTCAAGCATTTTTTAAGTTGACTGTTGCATAATATGGATCACACACACATTTATACCTTTGAGTGCCAATTTATCAATGTCTGTTGAATAGCATTTGAAAACTAAGCATATTTTCCTATCTATATGCTTCAGTACAAGTAGTAAAGTTAGTATGTCATAAGAAATATACTTTCTGTGAGAGACATTTCTCAAGTATATCTGTTAAAAAGACATTTATAAGATTATGGAATAGATAAGAAGTTGTATTTTTAAAAATCCGATTTCTTTTATTCCTACCAATATTTGAAGCCGCTAATTTTAAAATTTCAGTTTCGAATATCTTTCATTCAATAAATTAAGCACTACTATATCCTTGATAGAAAAATTACTTCGTAAAATAAATAACTTTTTTCTTAAATATTTATGCAATTGAATATTGTTTGTAACGCTTATGTCAAACAAAATATCTATTTTTTGTATATAATTGTATAGACAAGATTTATAAAATTCGATTTAAGATCTTCTATATTTGACATACGATCGATGATATATTTATGTCAATATATTTGTAAAATATAATATCAAAAGATTTTGAAGATGCCTATATCATAATTACATTTTTATCATGTGTTATGAGTGAAGTCTTGTAAAACATTTAAAAATAATCGAGGCATAACTTTTTTCAATGTCAATGTGATCAACTAGAATAAGTATGCATATAATAATATTGCAAGAAATTTAAATTGAAAAAAAAGTGTTTACTCATTTCATCAGTTTATTTAGCGTATAGTTACAAAAAAAATTAAGATTTTAAATTTTTGTCTTGTTTAATAAAGAGAAGATATATTTCAAATAATATCATATATATCTTGTCTTATTAAAGGAATAATTTTTCTTTTCTGTATTTTATGCATTTGATCACGTTTAACAAATCGACTTAATATTGAATTAAAACCATATGGATCAAATACTTCTCGTCGTCTTGGATACAAATTCGTATCTAATGATGATGATGGTATATCATCCGAATAGAATGAATATGGAAAAGCATCATTTGATAAAACTGATAGAAGAGCAATAAGAATACAAATATATGCTAAATATTAAATAAATAAAAATTTAAAAAAAGCTAATAATTAGGAAGGTCTTACTCATATACATTGGTGAAATAGACGTATTTCTTGTTATATAATTTCTTAAATGTAATGTATTGTCGTAGCTTCTTATATATTTCTTACAATGTTAAGCAATACGTGTAATAAGGTAAGTGGTGCGTGGGATAGAATATCTTTTCATGACAAGTACTTATATATATTTAAAAAGAAGAAAAATGTTAGAAGAAAAAAAAAACAATTATATGAAATATCTCCAGTCTTGCTAATTAATTACAAGTATACTCACGTATTTCTGCTTGAATTATCCTTAATCAAAATCATGTTTACCGTAAATATTTTATAATAGAAATTTTTAAGTACAGAACAAATGTGCCTAATATAAGCATATTTCGTACATACATATATATAATATCTGATGCAAAAGTCTTTGCACAAATGTCAAACAATCTTAGACCATATTACCGACTTCTAAACCAATCAATTTGTTTTTATTGGAAAGAGCAAAGTCTGAACTACAAATTTTGTACCAGCCATATTTTTTCAGAACGAATCTATGAAGGAGAAAAAGTCAGAAACTGAACACCTCTAAAAAAAGGCCCGTACAACTTTTTTCAACTTGAACGACCTGTATTTCTCGATTATTTCGAGTTACATAGATGCAACTTGCACTAAAAGATACACCAAAATGTAGCGCATGCAAAACTCTATAGATATGTACTTTAGTAAAATGTCTAGATCCGTTGTTGACTCTTCAATCAAAAAAGTTTTAAACATGAAATTTCTGTAAAATATAGTCTTTTGCAAGAACTATCATTTTAGGAGAAAACTAGCCATCATTTTCAGAAAACATGCGTGAACTCATTTTTTTTGCGTTATTTGTCGGAACTATGTCCGACTGAAGAAATTTTGCAGAAAAAACATAATTCAAAAAATTTTTTTTTCAGTATAAAACGATAGGTGGTAAGCACGACCAAGTTCTTTAGTCTCTTCCAGAAAATGCTATGTCTTGGTATAAAAACCAAGAATAAATTTAACTTCCAGTATACCATTTGAAAGAGCACTCTTTCTTCTACAAGAATCCTCATGTATTGTTTTCTTATTTCTCTTCTTATGCAAAAAAAAACGGATAGCAAACAGAAAATGATGTTGCTCAATGGTAAAGTTGAACGGACCTTTTTTTTAGGGGTGTTCAGTTTTTGCCCTTTTCTCCTTCTCAGATTCGTTACGGAAAAATATGTCCGGTACAAAATTCGTAGTTCACACTGTGCTCTTTCCAATAAAAACAAATTGATTGGCTTTGAAGTCGGCAATATGGTCTAAGATTGTTTGACATTTGTGCAAAGACTTTTGCATCGCATATTATATTGAACTAGAGATGAATGAAATACCTAGACATTTGATTTGTTGAGAAAAATGTTTTGGACTTGATTTTTTATCATAGAATTTCATGTTTATTTTTCAAGACATCATAGGCGATTATTTTGAAGAACAGAAATTAGTTTAATCAATAAAATACAATGGTATAAATCCATCACTTTCAATAAATCGTGACATATACTTAATGTCATACACAAACTTGCGTCATCAAACATATTCATATTCTATTCATTATGTTTATTTGATCTTGATAGAATCAAACAATATTGAATATTTTTCTATTCGTTACCGATTATATGAAATACTAAATTATAAACTATATATCTGAAAAAAAGATCATGATTCATTCGATAAATCTACGCAATTTTAAGAATATTAATTTTCAAAAATAAATCCTAATTAGCATTGCTTCGTCT